CGAGGACAAAAATGAAAACGTTGTGGACGAAAATGTGCTCCATGTGCCATTTTGATGACTAGGGATATAAATGTCTTTTTCATTCCGTGAATAGTGTCATTTGTGGTATATTTTGAAAGATTTTTTGGATTGTGGTAGATTTGGAAAATTAATTTCTAGAAAGTGGTAGATTTGGAAATAATCCCTTAAATGTATATGGCTAGAGATTTACAAGAGCTAAACCAAAATCAAACCGGAGTAAAATTGAATCAAATCCAAAAAAAAAAAAAAGCAAAAGGCAATGTTTGTCTTTTTACATAATACACTATGTTTTTGATAATGAAACTTACATGTTGATTTTAGTGTTTATGGTAATGAATATTACATATGGTAAATTTGGTCAATCAAAATGTTTTCTTATATATAAATCTCAAGTGATAAGTCTCCAATATCTCTAATTTTGTAATTGTAACTTCAGGGGAAAACTCCAAAGTCCACACCTTTATAAGGTAAACGGAGTCCAACTTCTCCAATATGTCAATGGCCAATAGGTATTTTGGCCACACCACTTAATTTTTGTAAGATCTAGTTCTTTTTTTTTTGTCAAAGGAAAGCTTTATTAAACTCAAGAAACAGCGTACATGAAGGCTTTCAAAGCCTCTTTACAAATTTACAAGAAACAGAATATATGAAGTACATATTTGTAAGAACTTGTTTACAATACAAATTTAAATGAAAAATGTAAGAAATAAAAAGATTTTCAAAGGGTTTTTCTGCAGATTCTACAACTATCTATTTTTGAAAGAAAAAAAAAAACAGAAGAGAAAGGGGTTATATAAATCTCAATCTTATCGAAAAAAATAATCGTTGCCAGATTCTCTAGGACCACTATAATCGAATAACCCTAAAGAAAATATTTGATTCTGTATCAATGAATTTGATTCTCCCCCGTTCACAAATAGGTTAAGTGAGCTCTTGCTAAAATGGACATAAAGTTTGATTGGACACATGAAAACATAAGTAACTGGATCAATGGATTTGATTCTCCCTCGTCCACAAATAGGTTAAGTGAGCTCTCGCTAAAATGGACATAAAGTTCTCTTCTTAAAATATAAGAGTAATAACATATGAAATTTGGTTATAAATTACAAATCTAAGACTAGTTAGCAGGGAGATTAAATTTTATTTAAAAAAAAAAAGTTTATTCGATCCATTTTGCAGTGACTTAATACAAAAACTTAATATGTGAAAATTTTATGTCTATATATAAGATTTATCCTGTATACGTTTCAACTTGTCCGATCCAATGACACGCAACAAAAAAAATGAAC